AAGATGCTTTTGTGAAATCAGCTGCACGAAGACGTCAGTATATAACTCATCTTAAAATACCACTTCCTAATGCAACAAGATGGAATTCATGGTTTAAAATGGTATTAAGGCCATTCAAACTTGAAGTTCTGTTTAACATCAACCCCCCCTCATTTTCAGAAATTTGAATTTAAACTAACGGTTTGATCATCAAAAAACATACATAAAAGGAAATTTTACATGATCGCAAAAAAAATTTGATTAAAAGAAAAAATTATTTCAACAATCTTATGTGTACATATCATGAAGAATGAATTGTAAAAAAAAAATGCATTTTAATAAGAACAAAAAATTGCACATATTATGAATGCAATAATTATTAGATTCACTAATTTATATGACTAATTTATTTTTCTTTTTTTAGATACTTTATGTTTTTTTTTCCCCCAAGTATGAAATGAATTACCAGCAAGTTCACAATTAGAACAAAGAGGGTATACAATTTGATGCATGTTAAGCAAATCATTGTTTATCTCAACTAATAAATTGCTCCTGCCACAATAATAACAAATAGGTGGGTTTTTTTTGCGAGATGAATAATATCCATTTTCAATTGGAGAATCACATGTGATAGATTGACAAGTAAAGGCAACATCTTGAAGCATCTGTGAGGTAAGCATCCAACCTTCTATTCCACAAGTGTAGTTATTTTCATCAATTTTGAGCCTTAATGCAGAAATCTGTTGTTCTGTCAAAGCTTTCATACTATAAATACATCGAGGCTTTCCACAAAATCACATTCAACAAACTCTCAAATTCAGTTATTATTAAAAATTCCTTGTGGCAAATTACTTGCTTCTGGTTGTTCTAATTTACTTGGATGAAACTTTTCTGAAGTTTGAGTACCATATATGCTAGAAAATTCCTTGATGGTTCAGGATCAGGTAAAAAGTGTAAATTATTATATACTTCAATTGGTAATTCAATTGGTAAACAAACTCTGCACTCATTCCTATTGCATTTTTTAACTTGAAAAGAATACTGTCTAATTTGACAATGAGTACTCATAAAATTTTTAAGATTTTGGAATCTTTTTAATTCTACAGATGCAGTATCATTGATAGTAATCCGCTCTTCAATTAATAAGATGGATGCAAATAATGTTTCTATATCTGATTCTAGTGCAGGTGAGCTACTTCTAAATTTTGTATCATGTAATGAAAGATGTGAAGTTCTTTCATTAAGAAAATCTTGTGTTTTTTTCATAGATTCAATTAGTTCTTTGAATATAGAATTTTTTTCAGAACCAATACATATATCTGATAAATTTTTAAGTTTATCAAAATATTTCTCAGAGGATTCACTCATGGATTCCCTTTTTAAAGCAACTCCCTGCAAAGCTAGATTTAATATTGACATCATGCGTTCTGCTGGATTTGCCCAACTGTAATAAGGAGCAGTTCGAACAGCAGCTAAAAAATCAAAGTCTCCTTTTAAAAACAAAGCTAGTAATGATATTTGAACAGAACCATATGTGCATCAATGGTCTGGGCAACCATCAGTATATAGTAGCAATATTTTTGGTTTTGCAAGATGGTTTTGGAACTGAGCACAATAATTGTTGTAAAATTCAGTAGAATGGCATAGAGCTGAACTTGGTTGTAGGATTGTATCCTTATAAGCTACATATACTTGACCTTTATAAAATGATTCTGTGATTTCATTAGGAATATCAACAAACAAAGAAACTGAAGGTGTTAATGACAATTTTGTGAAATCATGGTCACTGGAATTTAGTATTCCATCTAAAGGTGTTATTGACTGTTTATTTCGTATTCCTGTTGAAGTAGCAACAAATTCACCTATGGGAACTTTGTGTTTATCATCTGCACAAATCAAAGTAGTATGATCTTTAAATTTGATTGAGAATTCACAGAAGTATTTCCAGAGTGCAGCACAGTAATGAGCATCAACATGAAATTTACGAAGCTGTCTTGCCTGGACTTTATATCTAATTCTAAACCTTCCTGTATTCCTACTTCTTGCAAATTCACTTTTGGGCCAAAACTGCAGCCTTACCCATTCATTTGAAGGTATTTCAATTTCTGGGGGAATATCACCATTGTATTTATTTCTTAATCTTTCTAAAATTGTTTGTAAAAGATCATTGACAGACATAGCAATTGGCATATACAAAGTTGTAGTATATCTTCTTTCATGTACAGAGGGTGAATTTTCATTAAAATAATCTTCCATCTCATCCCAAAATATATCAAACTTGGTTGATCTTTCTCCAATAGTTTTTCTTAGATCTATCATTATGTCAGGATCTTGTGTATCTAACATTAATTTTATCCTCTCTTGAATATCTTTACTTTGCTCATCATTTGGTTTTGAAACATCACCTGTCAGATCTTGATATAGCACTTTCATTACAGAAGATGATGCTTTAATTAACAAAGAATACTTATTGATTACACTCTTTTTCATTTGTCTAGTAAAATAGATAGGTATTTCTTCATATATTTTTGAAATATTCCTTGTTTCTTTATTTTTATCATGTTCATTAATTTGGGAAATTTTCCAAACAAAGTTTAATGTACCTAGATAATTACCATGATAATATCTATACATAGTGAAAGATGTATCAGTACATATATTTTGAAAATAGAGGTAATTTTCTTGTGGTTTTGATGTGAGCAAATCATCAATATTTAAAATCTCATAATAATTAGATTCTTTTAGAAGAGTCACCAAAGGTTTATATTGAGGTGGATACACATCATGTGCTTCATAATCTTTTACAAAAACATCATCTCTTGCATCTCTGGCAGGAACCAGACTAGTATGAATAGATTTTATCTATCATTGATTCCTTTAAGATAAATAGAATAATCTTGAGTAATTTGTACTAGATGATGAATCTCTTGTATAATCTCTTGCCATAAGAAAAACTTGTCCATGGTTGTTGAAGAGATATATTTAAAGATTGGATTAGTGCATCTAATTTTTCATGTGAGATTTTGACCTTTTATGTTTCATATTATGATAATAAAGATTATTAGAAATATATTCAGGGAGATTAGCTATAAGGTTTGGAAGCCTCAAACCTCTTTTTTCTAGTTTGTGATGATGAGGATCCAAATACCATACCAAATTTGTGATTTTGTTAATGAAACTATTGCCAATTGTCAAATGATTGTTGTTTAACCAGCCTAGCTCTTTTTCTCTGAGAATCTTCAAAAGATCATTAAAAAGTAGATCAGTATGAAATTTTATGATTTTAGGTTGTGGTAATTTCTTTATAATTGTTTGTCTCATCATCAAATCAAATGCTGACTTATCAGAAGTGAAAATATCATTATCATTAATAATTATTGCATTATCATCATAAAATGTGATAGTAAAACGAAAATGTTTCACTTTTAATTGAATGCATGCTTCTAAATTTTCATCAAGTCCATAAATTACATCATGCCAAACTGACAAATCATTATTTTGAAATTCTACTTTTACTTGTAATTCTTCAAGAAACAATGTATCTTTTTTTAGTACTGTATCTAATAAATCCTTGAATTTTTTAGTTTCTTCAATACTAATTAGGCTTGATTTTATGACAGAAATGCCATTTTCTATTACAGTAACAAACAAATATAAAACCATCTAAAAAAATTCAAAATATTTTTTTTCAAATTTTACGCGCACGCGTTTAAAATATTTATTATTTATCATTACTTAAAATAGTAAGGTATATCAAAACGTTTAAATGTTTAAATTTTTACTATCCCCCCCCACAATTTTTTCTAAAAAATGATCTCTAAATTTGAACGGCCTAAGGGTGGAGTGATCACCATATCAAAAATCAGTTATACAAAATGACTAAAACAATTTTATGTTACACGATTTTATT